GTGTGAGAAGCAGAAATCCTGCAGCTCCGCCCGCTGTGACGGACCGGTGAGCGGAGCAACACACACTAAGAGTTAGACCTAACACATTCATGCTTTGGGGCTGTTTTTCTGCAAAGGGACCAGGACGACTGATCCGTGTAAAGGAAAGAATGAATGGGGCCATGTATCGTGAGATTTTGAGTGACAACCTCCTTCCATCAGCAAGGGCATTGAAGATGAAACGTGGCTGGGTCTTTCAGCATGACAATGATCCCAAACACACCGCCCGGGCAACAAAGGAGTGGCTTCGTAAGAAGCATTTCAAGGTCCTGGAGTGGCCTAGCCAGTCTCCAGATCTCAACCCCATAGAAAATCTTTGGAGGGAGTTGAAAGTCTGTGTTGCCCAGCGACAGCCCCAAAATATCACTGCTCTAGAGGAGATCTGCATGGAGGAATGGGCCAAAATACCAGCAACAGTGTGTGAAAACCTTGTGAAGACTTACAGAAAACGTTTGACCTCTGTCATTACCAACAAAGGGTATATAACAAAGTATTGAGATGAACTTTTGTTATTGACCAAATACTTATTTTCCACCATAATTTGCAAATAAATTCTTTAAAAATCAGACAATGTGATTTTCTGGATTTTTTCTTCTCATTCTGTCTCTCATAGTTGAGGTATACCTAGGATGAAAATGACAGGCCTCTCTCATCTTTTTAAGTGGGAGAACTTGCACAATTGGTGTTTGACTAAATACTTTCTTGCCCCACTGTATATTGATTGTTGTGTTTTTATTTAGGTCTTAATGTGTGCACATGTACAAATGTGTCTTTGACTGTGTATATATAGGATATATGTTATACATATTTTTATATACATTTGTTTTTATATTCGTGATTGTGGTAAACGGTATTTCGATCCCTCTGTACACACAAACTGAAAGATTGACAATAAAGGTGACTTTGATAATCACTCAGCTGTTTTAAGAGCCTAAATATCTGTGTTTAAAACGATTATAGTAGAGTATTTTAACTTAATTGAATATGCATATAATGTTTATTTATTGTCCTTAGGCCCTCAGTGGCAACAATAATACCACTAAGAAATGCTAGGGGGAAAAATGTAATACAAAATGTGTCTATTGAAAGGAACAGTATAGTTATTACTAAATCTTATTAAACTAGTCACTTTTATGAATGATAAACTTTTGCTCAGTGTAGGAACAATTATGACGGGTAATAGACGGCTTATAGGAGTTACAATTGGACGTTCAACACCCATGAAAGACAGCAGACAGTCAAAGAAAAGCACATTGCATATAGCTGGTATCTCTACCGTGTAGTTGGGGTTTCCGGGCTGAATGCGGAGCTCGGCCAGGATCCAGATGCCGTTGGTGAGCTTCAGAGACTGGTACAGCATGTCCTGGCCTTCTACGTTTCTCTTGGCGATGGTGAAGATGTTATTATTCTGCAGCTTCCCTGAAACTGAGTCTGCAGGATCACAAGTAATATCAAGTTATTAACACAGCTAAATTACTGACCGAAAAGAAACCGGCACACACGCAGGAGGCTGTAATCACTAGTCACTAAAGGAGCTAACTCTAATGTACACACGTTCTAATTCTAATAAACGTTTAGTTTTTTAATTGACGGTAAATTAGCTCTACGAGGATTTTAATGAACTATGAGAGGAAACAATAACATCTAAGTTAACCTGACCAGGTAGTCTACAACACTGGGCCTGCTAGGAACAACCGGACGGCACATAGTGGGCCATTTGGAAGTGATCTTCAGGAGGAAATGTCCGAAGAGAGGCATGTGGATTAAGAGAGAAAACAAAGAGAGGAGAGTGAGGTTTTTCCAGGAGTTGTATTTTTGAGGTATTTCATTATTTCCGTCCAAACATGATTTCTGAGGACGTTTAAAGTCTTTAAGGTGACGTTTCCACTGCAGGGCCTCGCTCGGCTTAGCACGGTATGGCTAGGCCTTGGTAGGCCAGGCTCACTTTATGCTGCGTTTCCATTACAGTTTAGGAACTGGGGCAGTAACTATGGTAACGCAGTGTAGGCGGAGCCGTGACGTCATCTTCGATGCGAACCACAAAACCAACATCAGCCGTTAGCTGTTAGCCCTCAGAGCTCACAGCTTCTCATATCTGTTCAGAAACTAGACAAAAGTGAAACAAGTCCAAACCACAGACTGTCTGTGTCATGGAGAATACAGTCGCTGGTTTATTTATGTCTGTAGGCCGTTGTTGTGAGTGTGGACGGTCGGAGCATTTACTGCGTTAGCTTAGCCGATCTGCATTCAGAAAACACGCATTTGAAAAGGTTTTTCGCCTGCCGTCTGTCTGCAGACTTGTCAAAGCATTAATTCATGGTTTTTACTAACCGGTATCAGTATGTTGTTACTTCGACATCATTTTGAAACGTGTATTACAATTAAATCACGGTCGAATATGTTCATCTTGTTGTAGTTGCCACTGCGATTCTCTCTCTAGTTTAGCAAACTCAGCCCGGTTGTTGGCCCGGAAAGAACTTCGATTTTGGTGAGCCAGAAAACTGTGAAAAAGTACCCACTAGCCGGAACTACACCAAGTGGAAACGCAACCAAAAAACAGGCCGGGCACGGCACGCTCAAACCGCGCTGTAGTGGAAATGCGCCATATAGGCTAGTCCTGGGGACCTCAAAGGGGTTGAAAGGACACAGTGGGTTGATGTAATTGGGCAGGATGAACGTGTATCAAACTTAATTCACGCTGTAACCCTTTACTTACACTGACCAAAATATAAAAACACTTAAAAAAAAAAAAAGTATTTTTCTAAGCCTACAAAAAGTTTATTTCTCTCAAATATTGTGGACAAATTTGTTTAAATCCATGTTAGTGAACACTTCTACTTTGCCAGGAGTATCCATCCATCTGAAAGGAGTTGCAAAGGTGCTCCATGTGCGGGTCACTATGGCTTTAGTTTCCTTCAGTTTCATTGAACCAATCATTGTTGTGCAAGTGAGTACTAAAGTCATCAAATGACCTTTTGGAATAAAACATTTTTCTCATCCTTAACAAAAAGCAATGAGTCTGTAATTACACTCAATAAAAGAACGTGCCTAGAAAATATAAAAGCAGAGAGAGAAATACATATAAAAGATACACAATGAGCAGCTTTGCTTGTCCACCACAGATACCTTCTGATCCGTTTACATTACAAACGTTTCTTTGCAGCACAGGAGTTTAATTCTCCAACGTGGCCTACCTGCATTAAGATGGCACTCCTTTATCTGGTACTGTAGCTCGTTCTCGTTGGGGATGTCTTTCCAGGTCGCCAGGAACACCTGTCGCTCTGAAGAGGGACGACACACGCATCAACACAGGTCTGTGACAGTCTGTGTGATAAACCCTTTCTAGTTCAATGGTAAAGATATATAACAGGGAGGCTGTGGCTCAGTGGATAGTGTGCTGGACTTCAAATAAGGGGATAGCAAGTTCGAGTCCCACTGCAGTCAGCATGTTGTTGTGTCCCTGAGACACTTCACCCCAAATTACTCCTGTGGGGACTGTCCACAGTACTGAATGTTTGTAAGTCGCTTTGGATAAATAAAATGTAATAACAAACATTTTCAGAATAATTGTAACCGTGTCTAATTGTTTGCAAAATATATTGTTGGTGAGATGAGGTTTAAAAGAGTTCATAATAATAATAAATTATATTTATATAGCGCTTTTCTGGAACTCAAAGGCGCTTTACACAGTATGAGGGAGGGTAGACAAACAAGGACAAGCAAAACAAACAAAAAATAAATAAATAAAAGAAAACAAAGACAAGGCAGTCAAGAGGATGTTGATTGAGGGGGGGGGACTTATGGATAGACAGAGTTGAAGAGATGGGTTTTGAGGTTGGACAGAGACTGCGAGGGACTCTAAACTAACCGACTGCGAAGGCAGCTTCGAAAGTTTTCACTTGTAACCGAGTTGAAAACTTGAGCTCAGGTGGTGGTTTGTTAACGGTCCAGAGGGTCTGGGGTTGTGGTTAAATATGTGAAAATAAAAATCTCTGGGAAGTCTGAACGTTTTTACCATTTTTTAGTCAAGACATCTCAAGTATATCGGACGACACCTCCTCTTAGTACTCGGAACCTACGGCCTATTGTTTTTCATCTCGCATCAATAATATATTAAAATTGACAGTGCCCTCTGGGCTTGTGTTGTATCCCAAATTTCCCTCTTTACACATAATTGTATACCTAAGGCTTGATGACGAATACAATAGATACAAAAACATAATTTACTCAATAATAAACAACTACTTGTGTCCCACCCGACACTTCTTGTCGTAGCTACAGAAGATGAAAGTTCGCATGAGAGGGAGAGTTGTATAGAAGCAACTCCTGCCTTTTTACCATTCCTCGCAGTTGGTAACAGTTGTTAGATCCTTAAG